ATCATTATTTGTTGGGAATTAACCATCTGCACTTCGGACGACTGGTCTTTTGCTCTCTGTTGTTGTGTCCAGAACCAGAGTGAAAGTGAAGGGAAGCCCACTAACAACTAGGAGCAAGAAGAAGATGAAGACAAGTGCAGGTCTTCTCCTTAGTGCCAAAAATTAAAATTTACTATTTTAAAATTCTGCATATTATATTTGTTAAAATGACACTACATGATCATGCTAGTTTCAATTCTTTTGGTACTTTATTTCAAACCTCCCCCCCCCCACACACACACAGCCTGTCCCCAATTACTAAAGGGTTAACAAACTGTGTAGTGATTAAGGAGTTAAGCCTTAGGCCATGGGAGAGCCCTGAGGCTGGAGCCCTCACTGTGGGGTGCTCACAGTAACATCTAATTATCCCATTAACCACAACATCCCTCTGTTACATCAAGGAAGGTCTTGGAGTCTCATTAGGTTCCATAGAGTAGAGCAGCCAGCTCCAGCTCCCGTCCGCGTTGACCGAGGATGGGGTGCTTATTCCTGCTTAGTGTCACTGTTGGCCTCCCTGTCCCCGCTCTGCTAGGGGCAGCCGAGACAAGCGGGGCAGGTCTGAGTGAGCTGCAGGAAGCTGATCCCAGGAGAGAGGATTGGCAGCAGGCCCTGGGCTCGGGAAGCAGCGTGAGGCTAGGCAGGGCGGAAGGCACATTGCCCAGTGTGGCAGCCACCGAGTACCCTGTGATTAGGGACCAGTGGGGGCAGTGGTGAGAGCCCCAAGAGGCCCAGAACCTCTTTTCACAGAGCGAGGAGCCCCGTCTCGCAATATGATTAATGAGACCTCACTATGGGCAGGCTGGGCTGGGAACCCTCCTAGTGGGACAGTGGGTGCACTCTCACCTCTGACTGCCCAGAGTCGGGCGTGAACCCCGGGGCTGGATCACTGGTTGATTTCCTGTGCCTGTTCGCACTCTTGGAAACTGCCACTGCCCAAAGACAGGCTCCAGGACCTTTGCCCTGACCCAGTTTGGCTCGTCACAGGTTCTGTTCCCAGACCAAATTCATGTCCCACACAGGCCACCTTTATGGATGCTTCCCTTTGAGCCAGATGCTGGTCGCCAGTGGGTGTCCATGTGGAAGTTAATCCCAAATACTTACTGAGGGGACCTGACACTATTTCCCCTCTCATATGCCCATTCCACAGCTTTCTGCCACCTGTTGTGGTGGCTCCATTTCATTCCAGGCATCACGTTCTAGTTTGGGAGAAAACCTCTGGGGTCCTTAAGCACAACAGACTGCCAACAAGGTCACTCCTAAAGGTGCATTAGCAGCACAGACTGCAGCCTAACTCCTATGTCTCCATCAAAGCTGGCTTGGTCCAGGCCTCAGGTCAGAGCTCATAGAATCATAGGACTGGAGGGGACCTCGAGAGGTCATCGAGTCCAGCCCCCCGCCCTCAAGGCAGGACCAAGCTCCGTCTACACCATCCCTGACAGATGTCTATCTAACCTGTTCTTAAATATCTCCAGAGAGGGAGATTCCACCACCTCCCTTGGCAATTTATTCCAATATTTGACCACCCTGACAGTTAGGAATTTTTTCCTACTGTCCAATCTAAACCTCCCCTGCTGCACTTTAAGCCCATTACTCCTTGTCCTGTCCTCAGAAACCAAGAGGAACAAATTTTCTCCTTCCTCCTTGTGACACCCTTTTAGATATTTGAAAACCGCTATCATGTCCCCCCTTAATCTTCTTTTTTCCAAACTAAACAAGCCCAGTTCATGAAGCCTGGCTTCATAGGTCATGTTCTCTAGACCTTTAATCATTCTTGTCGCTCTTCTCTGTACCCTTTCCAATTTCTCCACATCTTTCTTGAAATGTGGCGCCCAGAACTGGACACAGTACTCCAGCTGAGGCCTAACTAGTGCAGAGTAGAGCGGCAGAATGACTTCACGAGTTTTGCTTACAACACACCTGAGCAGGCAGTTCCCACGGTTACAAGCAGACAGCTGCTAGACCAGTGCTTAGGAGAGATGTTGGTGGCCGCTGGGGTCTGGGCAACATTGCTTTGCTGCCTGTCATGCTAACGCAGGAACTTCTGGTCCCTTGGCAATGCAAATTTGTCCAGCATTATTGGCCAGCGATATGCATAGGTGTGAGACACTAGTGCCCTTTCACACACCGCTCCGTGCTTGCGAGGGAAAGGGGAAGACCATGCACACTAGCAAACAGCACCCTGGGTGAAGGCTGAATTCAGGGTTTAAACATGCTTGTTCTCAGTTACCGAGAGGAGGGGCTGAACTCAGCTGGTTACTCGTTCCTCACTCAGACAGAATGCCCATTGGCTTGGGGTCCAGAAAACAAGCGTGGCTAGTTCTGCGGGGGTAGAGGAAAGGCTGCAGTTTGCAACCAGCTTCTTTGGTTCTGCTTCTTGATTTGCAAACATTAGGTTAAAAACCTTGATTTTGCCCTTTGCTCTGTTTGCTTTTTCCCTCTCACTGTTTGGTTTAGTTAATCAGTCTTCAAACATAAACAGGCTTGGGGAGCAGCAAGAGGACCCTGGAGCCAGCCTGGCCTGGCATGGTTAAACCCTTCTCTTTTCTTTTGTAGGGCAGTAAAAGAGCCTCTGTGGGGCTGGAGGTGACGGGTCATTGTCAGTGGCTGAAACGCATGGGGGTAGCCATGAGTTCAGGGTGGCTGAGGGCTGCATTAGGCTTCCAAAAGAGGTTGCTGTGGGAGCTGATGCAAACATAAGCCTTGTTGCAATCTCTGTCCCTGGAGGAGGAACTGGGCAGTTCAGCTGTTTGTGGATTGCAGTGACCTGTCAAGCCGAATCCAATCCAAGCATAGAAACGACCCCCTGGACAACGTCTCTCTCTGGCTTCTACATCACCCCGGGAGAGAAGGCTTCTTCTGTGGGGAGTCCTTTGTTCACTGGAGGAGGAAAGTCTCACAGCAGAACATCAGGATGGGGCATTAAGGGGTCTGGGATCTGTGCCTGGCTCTGCCACAGACTCACTCTGTGACCTGAGGCAAATCCCTTCACTACAGCCCAGTTCCCCCAGCTGAAAAGTGCACACAGCCTGCTTCCCTGCATACAGAGCCACAGACCTTCTTCGCTGCTAGGCTTTTGCTTGGGACCCAGGGCCAGACAAAGCCAGTAGGCTCCTGGCCTCACTCCTGGGTCCAGACAAACGCTAGGGCTCCTGGGGCCAGTGCCAAGATGCTGAGTGGCTGAATGGCAGCGCTGCAGGCGTGTCTGATGGCACCTACATTGGAGGAGCAGAGGAGCCTTCTGTCCCAGGGGCATCCAGGGCTCAGATGGAAGGTGCCAGGACCACATTGTCCTGAGCAGCTTTCGCTCAGCATGTGCCAAGGGCTGGTCTGCCACAGGGCCCTGCAGTGTCTCCGTCTAGTCACGAGTGGCCAGTGGGTCAAATCATCCAAGTGCCCCCAGCGATGTGACCCTGAGGATTACAAGGGGGGGAACTGGCATGGGGCAGCAGCAGGGGTCCGCCTGCCTGCACTCACCGGGGAAGCGGAGCAACCAGACCCCAGCTTGCTCCACTCGGCTCACTTTGCTTCCTGCCGTGGCGAAGCGGAGCAACCTGGCTGGGAGATGGGGGCAGGGTGGGGCAGGCTACTGGGTCACTCCACTGCCTGCAGCTCCCCCAGGTAGTACCCAGGCTGCCTTGGGCCCCGCAGACCGGTCATGATAGGGGGACTGTCCTGCCCATAGGACGGGTGGGGAAGCTTCTGTGGGGGCCCCCCCCCCCCCGCCTCCTCTGGGGACTGCTGCTAACGGCCTGTAAATGCTGCTGGTTGCTACTAACCCAGTTCCTGCTCTGCCAGGGATGTTCTGTTTGCACCAAGCACTGCGGATAGGTCAAGCACCTGCAGGCCAGTTCTGTGGTGCCTCCCGCATGACCCAGGGGGCTCTGCCCCCCCAGCCTGCGCGCTCTGATTGATGGGCTGTGTGGGCTGCGCTCAGACATAGACTCTAGGATCCCAGGGTGGGCAGAGACCTCAGGAGTCAGCGAGTCCAGCCCCCTGCCCACAGCAGGACCAATCCCAACTAACTCAAGGGGCCCACCCACAGCCAGTCACCTCTTACTGTGGCCGGGGCTGGAGTTCACATTTTGCAGCATCTGTATTGCAGGGCTGAGTCTGTCCATCCCGAAGCTGAGGAGCACAAGCGACCGGAGGGCCATGCCGTTCCCAGGGTTCCTCTTCCTTCTCTTGCTTGCTGTTCCGCCCAGGGCCAGAGGGAGTCCAACTTGGAGCCAAGCCAGGGAGATCCAAGTGCAGGAGAACTTCGACCCGGAACAGGTACCAGCAGGCCGGTGCTCCCGGAACCTCTCAGGAGCGTGTCAGTAGAGTGACGTGTGTTTGTCTCCAAAAACGCCAACGTTTTCAGTCACCCTCTCTCGCCCCCTTCCAACAAGAGCTGGGCCAGAGCCGGGAGGGTCTTGCTCTGACCCCCTCACTAGGGGCTGGCGTGAGCACACCGGACATTGCCTCTCACTGCAGCCCTCTGCTAGGAAGGGCTGACGCATGTGCAGAGGGGAAGTGAATGAGCGAGTCTGGGTGGGTTATCAGGCGGGGATAATGCACTTCCCCGTGCTGGGTGCCCACGCACGTGGCTGTGCCACTGGGGCTGCAGGGCTTGTCCCACACAAGGAACAACTTGCTCTGTGGGCAGAGCTGTTGCACAACCTGCCAGGTTCTGGAGCCAAAAGACTCCCTGGCAGATGCCTTTTAAGTGGCCTTTAATAGCTGACACTTCTCATGTCCATCCCGAGCAGGAATCAGGCTGCTTACCGGCTCTCGGGGTGCATCTCCAGCGCCAAGCATGCAGCTGTGCCAGGGCAGAGCCACCTTGCAGAGTTCCCATTGGCATAACAGAGCCACCTCCCCACGCAGCAGATGCTCTGTTGGCAGGGCTGGTGCAGAGCCCCCTGGGCATGGGGCCAACAAGCAGCACTAGGGAAAGGAGCGGAGCTAGGTGGTGTTGCCTCCCTGCTTCCCATGGGGGTAGATCCAGGCACCAGCTGCCCCCCGACTGCCCCTGGGGTGTGCCCCACAGTTGGGAGCTCTAATCTAGGCTTTGCATTGTGCATTAACTATGTTGTCTCTTCCGCCTTCCTCAGCCGTGGCACAAGCTCTTGGCCGGAGACATGGCTATAGGGCTGGTGCAGTGAGGCATGTGCAGCTAAGTGAAAATACTGGTCTGCAGCCCAGCGGGGAAGGAAGAGCAGCTCACCCTGCTGCCCCACGAGCATCAGGGCAGTGGGTCTGACCTGAAGTTGGGAGGGCAAAAGAAGGCGCATTAGCCAGATGTTTCTGGCTGACTGACAGGGAAATAGTTAAGGATGGTCACGTTAAAGTGCAGGTATTAGGGCTCAGAACTCATGCCCCTGGCGGATTGACCCTCTCAACACTGCCAGCGACCAGGCTGGCTGAAGACGGGCAGCTGAAGCCTGGTTCATGCTTCCAAAGCTTGCTGGGCCCTGCCCGTGAAAAGCCTGCAACCTCGCAGACTGACTTGGCGCCTGAGCTGGCCAGTGGTGCCCACGGGATCAGGCTTGTCAAGATTTTGCAAAGAGATTTGCCACTCTGCAGAAAACCCTGAAATCCCCAAAGCTCGGCCGAGGCGGAATGGGCGCAGGGTGGCAGTCACAGGCTGGGCTTTGCTTTCCCCCAGATATATGGGAAATGGTACGACATCGCCATTGGCACAACGTGCACCTGGATGAAGCAGTACAAGGACAAGTTCAACATGGGCACGCTGGTGTTGGGCCCCGGGCTGAGCAGCAATCAGATCAGCACCACTAGCACCAGGCTCAGGTAGGCTCCCAGGAACAGCTCCCCCCCCCCCCCCCCCCCCCCCCCCCCGCTCTCCTCCTCTGCCCCCCCCCCCCCCCCCCCCCCCCGCTCTGCCTGACTTTCCCAGCTGCTGCCCTCTGCTGGTCCCACTGGACAGGCCTGAAAGTCCAGTCCCTTGTGAATCTGTAAACAGAGTCAGGGGCTGTGTTTACTGCCCACTTGCTGCAATGCTGGGTATGTGGCTCCCTGATCCTGAAATACAACTATGTGCAGAAGGGGAATCTCTAGACCCGCGAACCCTTTGAGCTTGGCGGATGAGAGTGGAGAGTCTGGGCACAGCAGAAAGGAGCTAAAGGAGAAATTAACTCTGAATCCCAGGGATCTCTTGGTTGGAATCCAGCTGGAAGAAGGGAAGGGATTTCAATGGCTATAGAAAAACTCAGACCCCACCACAGGCTTGGTAGGGCCTTGAACAGAGTCAGGAGTTGTTGCAGCCCTGTTATCTACTCCAGCTGAGGCTTGATTCCTGTTGTGACTCATGCTGCTGTTCCTGGAGATGTCTGGGCCTTTGGACTTGGCAGCATGAAAAGCTGTTTAAATAGGCTGCTTCCTGCACCACCACAGCCTTAACAGGCTGTAGAATATGAAAGAAGGAAAACCCGCTTGGTGCCTTCGCACTGGACTAGTCCTGACTTGGACCTTGCCTGCTCCCTCCTTCCTGTGGAGGGCTCAGGTGCACCAGACTCAGTGGGGCAGGAAGGGGGGAGTTGGAATCTCTTGTGGCGGAGGCAGGACCAATGGGTCCATAGGCCAGGGCACCTTTCATGCATCACTTGGCCATGACTAAAGAACTCTGGCCTGAGACTGGAGTGGGACTAGCCACTGCTGAAGTTACTAGCTGTTTTCTCTCCCTGCTCAGGCAAGGTGTCTGCACGCAAGTTATTGGCGAGTATGAAAAAACCAGCATACTTGGGAAATACACCTACCGTAGCCCCGGTAAGCGTGGGGAGGACACCTTGGGAAACGCACCTACCGTAGCCCCGGTAAGCGTGGGGAGGACACCTTGGGAAACGCACCTACCGTAGCCCCGGTAAGCGTGGGGAGGACACCTTGGGAAACGCACCTACCGTAGCCCCGGTAAGCGTGGGGAGGACACCTTGGGAAACGCACCTACCGTAGCCCCGGTAAGCGTGGGGAGGACACCTTGGGAAACGCACCTACCGTAGCCCCGGTAAGCGTGGGGAGGACACCTTGGGAAACGCACCTACCGTAGCCCCGGTAAGCGTGGGGAGGACACCTTGGGAAACGCACCTACCGTAGCCCCGGTAAGCGTGGGGAGGACACCTTGGGAAACGCACCTACCGTAGCCCCGGTAAGCGTGGGGAGGACACCTTGGGAAACGCACCTACCGTAGCCCCGGTAAGCGTGGGGAGGACACCTTGGGAAACGCACCTACCGTAGCCCCGGTAAGCGTGGGGAGGACACCTTGGGAAACGCACCTACCGTAGCCCCGGTAAGCGTGGGGAGGACACCTTGGGAAACGCACCTACCGTAGCCCCGGTAAGCGTGGGGAGGACACCTTGGGAAACGCACCTACCGTAGCCCCGGTAAGCGTGGGGAGGACACCTTGGGAAACGCACCTACCGTAGCCCCGGTAAGCGTGGGGAGGACACCTTGGGAAACGCACCTACCGTAGCCCCGGTAAGCGTGGGGAGGACACCTTGGGAAACGCACCTACCGTAGCCCCGGTAAGCGTGGGGAGGACACCTTGGGAAACGCACCTACCGTAGCCCCGGTAAGCGTGGGGAGGACACCTTGGGAAACGCACCTACCGTAGCCCCGGTAAGCGTGGGGAGGACACCTTGGGAAACGCACCTACCGTAGCCCCGGTAAGCGTGGGGAGGACACCTTGGGAAACGCACCTACCGTAGCCCCGGTAAGCGTGGGGAGGACACCTTGGGAAACGCACCTACCGTAGCCCCGGTAAGCGTGGGGAGGACACCTTGGGAAACGCACCTACCGTAGCCCCGGTAAGCGTGGGGAGGACACCTTGGGAAACGCACCTACCGTAGCCCCGGTAAGCGTGGGGAGGACACCTTGGGAAACGCACCTACCGTAGCCCCGGTAAGCGTGGGGAGGACACCTTGGGAAACGCACCTACCGTAGCCCCGGTAAGCGTGGGGAGGACACCTTGGGAAACGCACCTACCGTAGCCCCGGTAAGCGTGGGGAGGACACCTTGGGAAACGCACCTACCGTAGCCCCGGTAAGCGTGGGGAGGACACCTTGGGAAACGCACCTACCGTAGCCCCGGTAAGCGTGGGGAGGACACCTTGGGAAACGCACCTACCGTAGCCCCGGTAAGCGTGGGGAGGACACCTTGGGAAACGCACCTACCGTAGCCCCGGTAAGCGTGGGGAGGACACCTTGGGAAACGCACCTACCGTAGCCCCGGTAAGCGTGGGGAGGACACCTTGGGAAACGCACCTACCGTAGCCCCGGTAAGCGTGGGGAGGACACCTTGGGAAACGCACCTACCGTAGCCCCGGTAAGCGTGGGGAGGACACCTTGGGAAACGCACCTACCGTAGCCCCGGTAAGCGTGGGGAGGACACCTTGGGAAACGCACCTACCGTAGCCCCGGTAAGCGTGGGGAGGACACCTTGGGAAACGCACCTACCGTAGCCCCGGTAAGCGTGGGGAGGACACCTTGGGAAACGCACCTACCGTAGCCCCGGTAAGCGTGGGGAGGACACCTTGGGAAACGCACCTACCGTAGCCCCGGTAAGCGTGGGGAGGACACCTTGGGAAACGCACCTACCGTAGCCCCGGTAAGCGTGGGGAGGACACCTTGGGAAACGCACCTACCGTAGCCCCGGTAAGCGTGGGGAGGACACCTTGGGAAACGCACCTACCGTAGCCCCGGTAAGCGTGGGGAGGACACCTTGGGAAACGCACCTACCGTAGCCCCGGTAAGCGTGGGGAGGACACCTTGGGAAACGCACCTACCGTAGCCCCGGTAAGCGTGGGGAGGACACCTTGGGAAACGCACCTACCGTAGCCCCGGTAAGCGTGGGGAGGACACCTTGGGAAACGCACCTACCGTAGCCCCGGTAAGCGTGGGGAGGACACCTTGGGAAACGCACCTACCGTAGCCCCGGTAAGCGTGGGGAGGACACCTTGGGAAACGCACCTACCGTAGCCCCGGTAAGCGTGGGGAGGACACCTTGGGAAACGCACCTACCGTAGCCCCGGTAAGCGTGGGGAGGACACCTTGGGAAACGCACCTACCGTAGCCCCGGTAAGCGTGGGGAGGACACCTTGGGAAACGCACCTACCGTAGCCCCGGTAAGCGTGGGGAGGACACCTTGGGAAACGCACCTACCGTAGCCCCGGTAAGCGTGGGGAGGACACCTTGGGAAACGCACCTACCGTAGCCCCGGTAAGCGTGGGGAGGACACCTTGGGAAACGCACCTACCGTAGCCCCGGTAAGCGTGGGGAGGACACCTTGGGAAACGCACCTACCGTAGCCCCGGTAAGCGTGGGGAGGACACCTTGGGAAACGCACCTACCGTAGCCCCGGTAAGCGTGGGGAGGACACCTTGGGAAACGCACCTACCGTAGCCCCGGTAAGCGTGGGGAGGACACCTTGGGAAACGCACCTACCGTAGCCCCGGTAAGCGTGGGGAGGACACCTTGGGAAACGCACCTACCGTAGCCCCGGTAAGCGTGGGGAGGACACCTTGGGAAACGCACCTACCGTAGCCCCGGTAAGCGTGGGGAGGACACCTTGGGAAACGCACCTACCGTAGCCCCGGTAAGCGTGGGGAGGACACCTTGGGAAACGCACCTACCGTAGCCCCGGTAAGCGTGGGGAGGACACCTTGGGAAACGCACCTACCGTAGCCCCGGTAAGCGTGGGGAGGACACCTTGGGAAACGCACCTACCGTAGCCCCGGTAAGCGTGGGGAGGACACCTTGGGAAACGCACCTACCGTAGCCCCGGTAAGCGTGGGGAGGACACCTTGGGAAACGCACCTACCGTAGCCCCGGTAAGCGTGGGGAGGACACCTTGGGAAACGCACCTACCGTAGCCCCGGTAAGCGTGGGGAGGACACCTTGGGAAACGCACCTACCGTAGCCCCGGTAAGCGTGGGGAGGACACCTTGGGAAACGCACCTACCGTAGCCCCGGTAAGCGTGGGGAGGACACCTTGGGAAACGCACCTACCGTAGCCCCGGTAAGCGTGGGGAGGACACCTTGGGAAACGCACCTACCGTAGCCCCGGTAAGCGTGGGGAGGACACCTTGGGAAACGCACCTACCGTAGCCCCGGTAAGCGTGGGGAGGACACCTTGGGAAACGCACCTACCGTAGCCCCGGTAAGCGTGGGGAGGACACCTTGGGAAACGCACCTACCGTAGCCCCGGTAAGCGTGGGGAGGACACCTTGGGAAACGCACCTACCGTAGCCCCGGTAAGCGTGGGGAGGACACCTTGGGAAACGCACCTACCGTAGCCCCGGTAAGCGTGGGGAGGACACCTTGGGAAACGCACCTACCGTAGCCCCGGTAAGCGTGGGGAGGACACCTTGGGAAACGCACCTACCGTAGCCCCGGTAAGCGTGGGGAGGACACCTTGGGAAACGCACCTACCGTAGCCCCGGTAAGCGTGGGGAGGACACCTTGGGAAACGCACCTACCGTAGCCCCGGTAAGCGTGGGGAGGACACCTTGGGAAACGCACCTACCGTAGCCCCGGTAAGCGTGGGGAGGACACCTTGGGAAACGCACCTACCGTAGCCCCGGTAAGCGTGGGGAGGACACCTTGGGAAACGCACCTACCGTAGCCCCGGTAAGCGTGGGGAGGACACCTTGGGAAACGCACCTACCGTAGCCCCGGTAAGCGTGGGGAGGACACCTTGGGAAACGCACCTACCGTAGCCCCGGTAAGCGTGGGGAGGACACCTTGGGAAACGCACCTACCGTAGCCCCGGTAAGCGTGGGGAGGACACCTTGGGAAACGCACCTACCGTAGCCCCGGTAAGCGTGGGGAGGACACCTTGGGAAACGCACCTACCGTAGCCCCGGTAAGCGTGGGGAGGACACCTTGGGAAACGCACCTACCGTAGCCCCGGTAAGCGTGGGGAGGACACCTTGGGAAACGCACCTACCGTAGCCCCGGTAAGCGTGGGGAGGACACCTTGGGAAACGCACCTACCGTAGCCCCGGTAAGCGTGGGGAGGACACCTTGGGAAACGCACCTACCGTAGCCCCGGTAAGCGTGGGGAGGACACCTTGGGAAACGCACCTACCGTAGCCCCGGTAAGCGTGGGGAGGACACCTTGGGAAACGCACCTACCGTAGCCCCGGTAAGCGTGGGGAGGACACCTTGGGAAACGCACCTACCGTAGCCCCGGTAAGCGTGGGGAGGACACCTTGGGAAACGCACCTACCGTAGCCCCGGTAAGCGTGGGGAGGACACCTTGGGAAACGCACCTACCGTAGCCCCGGTAAGCGTGGGGAGGACACCTTGGGAAACGCACCTACCGTAGCCCCGGTAAGCGTGGGGAGGACACCTTGGGAAACGCACCTACCGTAGCCCCGGTAAGCGTGGGGAGGACACCTTGGGAAACGCACCTACCGTAGCCCCGGTAAGCGTGGGGAGGACACCTTGGGAAACGCACCTACCGTAGCCCCGGTAAGCGTGGGGAGGACACTCCACTTCTCTCCTAGAGCTGTGTGTACTTAGGTGCAAAGTGTATATTCAAAGAGAAGGGGCAGCAGCCCCTAGGAGTAATGGGCTGGAGTGAAGAGAAGGCAAATACTTCCCAGGTAGCTGGTTGCAAAGTGTAACATGGAACCACAATAGAGACGGCGGAGCAGCCCCCATCGGGAGTGGTGGAAGCTCCAGGCCTTATGCCCCTGACACCCAGGCTTTGGGATAAAAGCCAATAGTGCAGGACTAAGCAGTCCCAGATCTTCCTCCTCTAGTTCGAGGGACCAGCCAGCAGTGGCAATGAGAAGAGGCCTGTCAGTTTCTTGCTCGTGAGTTGTCTGTCTACGGCCCATGGATGCAGGGAAGGTATTCGGGTAGCAAATGAGAGGAACGCAGCAGTGAAATCAGGCGCTGTGCAGGGTAGCCATGGGGCCCTGCACGATGGTACATTCCAAGATGTAGCTTAAGATGTGGCTACCTAAACTCCCAGGAACTAGCCCAGGCTGGGGCCCTGGCTCAGCTGCCTCTCTTCATCCGGCCCATTTGCAAAGGCCAGATGAAGCCGTATTCATTGCAGACATTCACAGACAGCTGTGTCTTTCCATTTCTGCAGGCTGGAATGTGACCATCAACTCCTATGTGGTGCACACCAACTACAAGGAATATGCCATCATTCTAATGCAGAAGAAAAGTAGCTTGGGCCTGACAATTACAGCCAAACTCTACGGTACATGTCTGACTGGGGCATCAGACAGGCATTAGCAATGAGCTCAGACCTTGGCAGTCACCAGGGGATGTCAGTGGGGCTGGGGCTCCCCCGTGTTCCAAAGGGGGAGTCTGGCCCACTGGTGAGGCCACCAACTGTCCAATCGCACTACTTGGGGTGGCTTTGGCAGTGCCAGCTCAGGACAGGCTGGGGCCGGGCTGGCAGGACTGAGGGGTTGTACAAACACAGGCTCTTCCAAGCACTTGACCTCCGCAGGGGCCAAAGCTCTGACCTGAATGAAGCTGGTTCCACACCTGAGCTGCCGGGGGTGGGGGCTGCCCCGACCTTGCTTTAGCTAGAGGAGCTTTGGGGGAAGGAAGTGTGTGGGGGGCGGATTCTGGCCCCTCTCCCAACCTGTGCCCCCTTCTCACACCTGCTGACATTTGGGTTCTCTCCAGGCAGAAGCCCAGAGCTGCGAGAAGGCCTCATTGTGGATTTCAGACAGTTTGCTCGAGAGATGGGGATTCCTGAGGACGCCATTTTCATCATGATTAATAAGGGTAATTGGGGTGCTACTGCAGGGACACCTTCTCTCCCTGGCCGCAGGCATCTCCGTGGCCTGTCTGTCCTGTGACTTGTGCTGCAGGCCATAGCGGGGAGGGAGAAAGCAGCATGGCTGGTGGGAAGAGCAGAGCCAATAGCTGGAGGTTGGAAGGGAGGCAGGAGACTGGAGGCAGGGAGAAAGTTCTCTGGCAGTAGCAGAGAGCAGCTGTCTGGAGAAATGGCAATGGGACCATCTCTGAATGGATCAGACCCCCAGGCCTGGGCTCTCCTGAGCCCCACGGGCCTGCAGACCCCCAAGAACAGTCATGAGATGGGCACGGGATAGTTAGATAGCTCCAGGCTATATAGTGCATTCCCAAGCAGCCTTGTACCTCACTAGCTTGTCACCATTCACAGCCCTAATGTGGCACCAGCACCCTCGCTTGGCCTTGGGTCATTGCCCCACACACGCTGCCCAGCTCCTGAGTGCTCTGGGAGGGCGATAGCTCCTCCCACTCATGCTCCCTACCGGTGAGGCTGCCCAAACCCAAACACCCTTGCCCCATCCACTGTCCTGCCCCTTTGCTGAGGCCCTGCCCTGTTCACTCCCTCCCCCTCCCTTTCCCCAGGGAGGTAGGGGGTTGGGATGTGAGAGGGGGTGTGGACTCTGGTTCAGGGTGTGGGAAGGGCTCCCGTCAGGGGCAGGGGGTGGGGTGCAGGAGACATTGTGGGCCTTGGGCTGGGGTGGGGACAAGGAGTTCAGGGTGTGGGAGGGCTCCCATCAGGGGCAGGGAGTTGGGGTGCAGGAGGCAGTATGGGCCCTGAGAGGAAGTTTGGGTGCAGCAGAGGGCTCAGGGCTGGGGTGTGGGATGTGGTGCAAGCTCCAGCTGATCAGAGCTTACCTCAGGCAGCCTCTGGAAGATGGGACATGTCCCTGCCGCTTGTTGGCTCAGGGGCAGCCAGGGGGCTCTACACCCAGCCCCTGCCTGCAGGCACCCTCCCCACAGCACTCCCCGGCTGAGGCTCCTGGCCTATGGGAGCTATGGAGTCAGCACTCCAGCTTGCAGAGATACCAGGTTGTCCCTGCACCAGGAGCTGGCCATGCTGGCTACTTCTAGGAGCTGCATGGAGCCAGGGCAGGCAGAGAGCCCACCTGAGCCCCACTGCCTGTTAAAATCACCTGGATTGCTTGCAGTCCCAGCCAGGAGATTGCAGCTGATTCTGGGCGACTCCAGCCAATGTTCCCTCTGATCTTTTCTATCCATGTGCAGAATAATTTTTTATGCAAACCAAGACACGTGCAGATGTGAACCACTAGTAGAAACACAACCTAGCCGTGGGTGTTTTGCTAATCAGCTGGGCAGCACTAGAATCTCTCCTGATTGGCTGCACAAGTGCCCAGGGACCACTGCTCACAGCCAGTCCAGGAGCGATGGGGTCAGTTCCCGCTGCTGAGCCAGCCAGAATTCCCGCAGGAACTCTTGTGCTAGTTGAGGTGCCCGGTGAATGACAGCTGCATCCCTCCACCTCTCACCTGTTTGGTGCCGTGCCCAGCAGTGCATTGAGGAGGAGAGGGGCACAGAGTGTACCAGCGTGCTGGCTGGCTGAGTGCACAGTGAGGGGAGGGCTGTAAGCAGCTGCTGTGGGGGATGAAAGGCTGCAGAGGGTCCAGAGACCAGGCACTTGCCTCAGCCAGGGAGCTGGGAAGGTGAGACCATGACCAAGCAGGGGAATGAATTCAAAGACCCAAGACCTGGAGCCTGGGAGCAGGCAGAGGAACCTTGTGTTGTGTTGTGAGGGCTTTGGTGCAGATTTTGAGCGCTGTTTGCAGTTTATTTCATATGAATAAACTCAAGGAGGGTTCCACCTGGAAGACGTTTGATGTAAACACTCCAGCAGGGAAAACGGAGGCAGACTGTCCCTAGTGTCATCCTCAAGGGGCTGTGTGGACTGTGGCATCAGAAGGGCTGACCGCCTAGGAGTCACAGTCCCTCTGATGGTGAGCTCCGTGAGGATACGGAGGTAACTGCTTGGCCCTGCCCGGCATGGGGGAGGCCTTGGTCAGAGGGCTAGGTGCTGCTCTGGGCCAGATGTGGACAAATTGGTGGGAGGCCAGAGAAGAGGAACAAAACTGATGAAAGGTTTGGAAAGCCTGAACTGTGAGGAAAGGTCCAGAAATCTGGGTCTGCTTAGCCTCAAGGAAAGACGACTGGGGGGGATCTGATATGGGCTTCAGCCCTGTGATGGACTGATGCCAAGATCTGTGTCCAGGAAGGCAGGACAGGAAGTATTGGGGCAACATGCAGCACTAGGGCTGGGGAGGGCGGAAGGTGCTGCCCCCCCGGTGTCTGAAGGGGTAAGGACATCGGGGTGAGCTAGTGCCACTTACTCTGGCCTCTCGAGGTCCCTGCCAGCCCCACACCGCTCTGTCCCATTAGCAGAGCTGCTCTTGCTGTACAGCTCTATCTCAGGTGAAGTGTGGGTGAGTAGAGGCCAGGAAAAGAGCATGAGAAATCCCAGCCATGCAGAGCAGGTCTCGGCTGCTCTGTCCACGTGTGCCCTGGAGACAGGGCTGTGTTGACACCTATACAGCATGGTCCCTGAGAGCCTCACCAGCCTGTTCCCTACCAATGTCTGACCAGTGCCTGGGGCTGCCTTCCCGGTTTGGCTGGTTGGGAGGTGCCAAAGGCCCATTCCTCCTGCCCTGGCTCCACCCGCCTGCGCCCTTTCCAATTCCATGTACCTCAGCCTCAGCCTGGCCCCGAGGCGGGATTCCCAGGCTTCACTCTGACAGGAGGGAGCATGGGGCCTCCCAGAAGCCAGCTGTGTTTGTCCCCATAGATGCGCCAGGCTCTGACACAGGCAGACTGGGCAGGGTTGGGCAGGCCCATTGGATCTGCTCTCTCCAACAACAGCTTCCTCTCCTAGCTCCCTTTGTGCTGACGCTCTCCTGTCCCCTGTGCAGGTGAATGTGTTCCCAGTGAGGCCCAAGTGGAAGCCCAGGTGAGTTTCTGGCACTCGACCCTTCAAGCTGAATGCCCTGGGTCTCTGGCGCAGGGCACTAGTGCGAGAGGCATCCCCCAGAGCATGTAGCCAGGTTAGCCAGCACCTGCTGCTCAGGTAGGCTGGGGAGATGGTCCTTGGAAGGGATGAAATGGGTGCGGGGCAAGCTGCCCAGCCGAGGCAAGTTCCCATCGCGATGCTGCTTTGTTGCATTTGAGGTCCCGTTAACGTTCCATGTTTGGTGCAAGTAGCCAGTTCCGGAGCTGGGAGTCGCCTCCTCCCATTTGCCCCGTGGGTTCAGAGGGGCCCCCTTCAAGGACACGATTTGTCCTTTCCAGCCCTTGGGGCTGAGCTCTCAGGGGGGATAGTTGAAGGGCTGCTGGCACCAGGTTGTGTCAGCTGCAGTGGAGGTTATTTGTGAGACACTTGCTCACTAATAAGTAGTCTGAGACACCAAACTAATGGCTTGCAGGGGCTAGCAGCTGGCCAGGAACTTTTAGGTGACAAATAGGTGAAAACCCCCATGTCCCATTGCCTGTCCCAGAGCCTGGCTGGTGACAAATTGGAGGAGGACCTAACCTACTTTTTCACACAACACATATGTAGCCAGTGGAACTCCCTGCTACCAGATATCATAGAGGCCAAGAGCAGAGCCAAACTTCAGTGACTGGCACTGGCCAGGGGCCTTGCCATTTGCCTGTGGAGTCCCTGAATTCGCTGCCATATTAAGGGAGACATTGGGATTTGTGGCTCACAGCTGTTCCTAATGGGTGCTCTTTCTTCTGTGAGCAGAGGGCTCGAAGAGCTGTCCTGCCTGAGGAGGAGGGCTCTGCTGCCGGCCCGCTGCCAACGTTCATCAGCAGAAAGGAAGGTCTGTATTAAGCTGGGCTCCCAGTGGGGTGAGATGAAGTTATCGCATTCGGGGGGGCGGGGGGGGGGGGAGGAGCTGGAGTACTTGGATGGGGACTCACCTTCTCCTGGGCCCTGGAAAAGGGCTGGCTGTGCACAGACCTCAGTGGGAGCAGAAACAGAGTAAATTCATGTTGGAAACTTCAACTTTCCCTTGCCAGAGCTTTTCTAGGCAGCTAGATGCTATTGCTTTAAGGCCTGTGGCCTCAGGACCTTCTAGGGCCACTGGCAACTTCACTGGGACCCCACAGGCTGCAAACCTGGGCAGAAAGCAGCACATGGAAAGGGGAGATGGAGGTTTGGGGCGAGGCTCTGTCCCCGGAGAGATGGGGATGGGGACAGGGACGCTACGTGGTGTAGTTCTGTGACTCACTCAGGTCTCCCACTTGATGTGCTCAGATTTCTGCCTGCTGAATAAAGAAGTGGGCCCCTGCATGGGGATGAACATTCGGTTCTTCTACAACTCCTCTTCTATGGCCTGTGAGAGCTTCCACTATGGTGGCTGCCTTGGGAACGGGAACAACTTCCCTTCTGAGAAGGCATGTCGCTACGTGGTGTAGTTCTGTGACTCACTCAGGTCTCCCACTTGATGTGCTCAGATTTCTGCCTGCTGAATAAAGAAGTGGGCCCCTGCATGGGGATGAACATTCGGTTCTTCTACAACTCCTCTTCTATGGCCTGTGAGAGCTTCCACTATGGTGGCTGCCTTGGGAACGGGAACAACTTCCCTTCTGAGAAGGCATGTCTGCAAACCTGCCGAACCGAGGGTAAGGGGCAGCCCTTGCAGACAGTCACGTGGACATTAGTCTCTGACAAGTGCAGGAGGGGCAGCTTCTGACATCTCTGTCCCGTGTGGCCCCAGCCTCCTGCTCCTCACACCTGGTTGAATGAGGAGGGATGCCATGGAAGGGCGGGGATGGGGTTGGGATAGGGAGGGATACAAAGAGGAGTATGATGGGTGGGAAGTGAGGATGTGGTGTGGGGGAGTAGGGATGGGGAGGGATGACATGAGGGAAAGGGGGGGAGGTGGGAGGGGAGGGGTCACATGAGGGGAAGGGAGTGCAGGGAGATCGGAACGGGGAGGGGGTGACGTGGGGGAGGAGGGTGCAGAGGGAG